TTGCACTGACAAGGGGCAGGCTTGCTTTCTAATTACTGAGAGAGTTCAGCTGGTGTCTTGGCTTTCCATGTCTTTTTACACCTCCCTTTCTTCATGTGTTCAATACTTGTTCCCTGTGCCATTCCACATTATTACAAATAACTTCATTTCTGGACACTTATGTCCAGAAATGATCCATACATAGCACTTGGGTTGTTACCGACATCTGGTGGAAATTTCATGTCATTAGCACMTCTAGTAATATATTTACTGAGAAAAATGTTTACGTGTTCAGTACTTATTTTACCCACTTTTTTTTGTCAGGGGCATTGTCTCCTAACATCATAAAAACCTGTGAACAGACATTTAGCCAGAGGAGCGTCTTCAGTTTTCTGGCGCCTTGGGATTGTCACCAGTTATTTTTTTCTTTTTACACCATGTAAATTTTAATGTAAACTTCCGTAAACAGGGGTTATATCATTCTGTTAATTTAAACTGGTCTCCAACAATATTATCGTTTATCGCGAAAATTTCTGAGACATCAAAAATAAAAAATAAGTACATGTAGGTCCTCTGGATGGGTTCTTCTTTAGTGAAACGTTTCGTCTCTCCTCAAAGAGACTTCTCCAGTCTGATGAGTTTCAGGTGAACTCCACATGGACAAACAGGTTAGTCACATGCAAAAGAGGGCCATCACCTAACAATAGGCTTGATTAGCTCTATTTAGTCGCATGCAAAAGAGGGCCATCACCTAACAATAGGCTTGATTAGCTCTTGTCACATGCAAAAGAGGGCTGAGTTCACCTGAAAATCAGACTGAAGAAGTCTCTTGGAGGAGAGATGAAACGTTTCACTAAAGAAGAACCCGTCCAGAGGACCTACTTATTTTTGATTTTTGATTTTTTTTCTACCTGGATTACTGAGATGCCTCAGGACAATTTGAGACAATTTATCGCCCAGTAAAATTTGTTATCGTGACAGGCCTACCTCTACGTTTTACCAGTTGAATATTTTTAACGAAAAAAAAAAGGTCAATTTTAGTATGAGGTGTGCTGCATGAGGGGTAAACAAATTTGGTCTGATCTGTCCAAAGGACATAGGCTGGGTCCTCATGAGCACGTAGCCCAGCTGGGCCACGTGGACCACGTTCTTCCCAGACCGGGTAGGGCTGCATTTAACTGCTGTGAATTGAGACGGTCTAGCCTTCGTAAGTTTGCGTGACCACCCACCACCACATTACCGTAGTGATCGTTTTCATATCTGATTTAAAATGTGTTGGGACGTGTATTTACACGTCTGTTCACAGGAAGAATAACTTCACAACTAAAATGTTACATAAATAATATTCCTGGGATAATCTGGGGTTCGTTCAGATGCAATTTTGCGAATATTTCTAAAAGGTTCTGCTCCCTTATTGCTTTTGAAGCGAAGAGATTTTTTATATTTTTTTCATGTAACTCTTCAAAACAAGATATACATGTTTTAGTCTTGTTTTAATTGTCCTGTTATGACCTTTAACCTCTTGAGCCCCATGCCCCCGGGGGCAAAACAGTTTTTCCAGTTCTCTATTTCTTTTAACTTAAGATCTGTCAGTTGAACCTGGACATGTTTGGTATCAAAAGAAACCTAAGTATCTTGGCTAAAAGCTCATGGAAACTGTTTTTACATTCACCAAATACAGTTCAAATGTGAAGCAGTTGAATCAAACTAAACAATCTATACAAAATGGTGTCATTGTGAATCTGTAAATACATTCAAGCAAATCTGTAAAGGAAAAATTTTTGACATTACTTTTTTTTAAAGCAGGTCAAAGTAGATACCTAAATATGTTGTAAAGTGGGTTGAAAG